TAAAATTGTTTAGAATGCACGAACCGGTGTTGCCACAAAAATCAACTTAACGCTTAAATACAAAATATCATTTTATTTTAATTAAAATCCAATGAAAACTTTTTACTTTTTCATGAGATGAAAATTTTTATTTTATTTTTTCTAATTTTTTTTTCAGCTTTTAGCATTAAAAACTTTCATTTTTGGAAAGCACAGTTTCACATAATTGTTTTCGGAACTGAAACATATCAATGGTGTATGTACACCCACTATTGGTATAATATTGGATATTTAACACAAAATTCATAAATTTTTTAATTAAATATGATAACAGAAGCACATTTCCAAATAAATATTGGCAAAACAATTTTTGTCCCAAATAAGTTTTTAGTAATTGCAATTGTTATGATTTTATGTAATTATTATTATTTTGTGAAATCCCAAATACATCTTACATATTAGTTTCTAATTAATCTATATTATTTCACATGCACATCTAATTCACTTTAAATGAATCAAAATTATTTAGACTACTGTTTGACCACAAAATCACGACTACTCTAATTAAGGTTAGTGTATCCATCAGCTTCTTCTGTGTCCACATACAAAATAAAAAAAGATCAAAGATGATAACATCCTCACTAAAGGAAGGCGTATAAGAAGTCGTGAACTGCGTGATATGAAGACAAAGAACATTACACACATCAATCAACACTTCTTTATATTATTACCGTGCTTAGCGCAAGTACCCGTATCTTTATATAAGATATAAGATCTATATATAAATTGTAAATTTTTATATAATTTTACTTAATTAATTTAAATTTTTTCCTTTTTTAAAACTGAAAACTAATAGTTTTTATAGTATTTAAATATAAAATATAAAACTCTTTTATTGTTTCGCTATATTCTTAATAAATTTTCAGGTACTTTCAGGTACCCTTGATAGCTTATCGAATGCACTTGGGCAATAAAAAGTACTCTACATTCCTAGATTAATTAGTAAAATCAATCAGTGTTAGACACTATATATATTTTTTAAAATTGTTGTTATATTGCATATGATAAAAAATAATTGCAACTTAATGTTTTATATAATTACTAGCTATTCCACCATGCAATTAATTATTTTGCTTTTATTTGATTTTATAATAACACATATTTATTGAAATAACTACTATAATTAAATATCGTTAAATGAAATATAGAGTAAATTTGTTTCCCAATTTTCTGATATATAAATAAATTCACAACACGTGAAAATACCATATTAAATATAATTGTTTTTAGAATAAACATGAATTTCTTAAAGTTAAACCACTGATACTTAGTATTTGACCCAATGATTTACTGTTCGTTATGGCAAATACTAATCACATTTAGACACGTTTAAATCGGATCGAGTCATCTATCGGTATCATTAGTATTCGTGCAGTAAAATGTGATATATTTCCCTTAAATACGGTTATCTCGATGCAGTGCCGTATTGCTCGTCTGTAATTGCTGCGCATCTCTTAACGAGACATCAATGTTTCACATTTCTTAAGTCTGAGTTCCAGATCATAGGAAATACTTCAAGCTGATTAGACGTGGTGCTATAGGTAATAACTCGGAACAGCTATGAAAGCTGAACATATCATTAACATCGTGCAAACATTTGTTACATTCCTTCTTTATTGAGCAATTTAATAAATTATAGGCAGTCTGAACCATATGTTGACATCTGTGTGCAGGTTGTAGCCGCATTCTCATAAAGATGATAAAAACATTTTACATATTAAGGTAAGAGGTATTAAATCTGTTCTGAAAGTAATATTAGAAGACAAGATAAGTTTAAAATAAGATTACTCAGAGAGTTTTGTACCAAATAGGAGAAAGTAAGTTTTATTTCTTCAGAAATACACTACTCCATTAATGACCACAATAATTATTTTAATTAGTAATGGCGTATACAGAAACTTATTTATGATTGCTTTTGAAATTTATATGGAAATATTTAATTGAGCGAACCATTTATAACTAGTGTAAAATAATTCGAAATATTTCACAAGTTACTTTATAGCCCATAACTCTCCCTTTTTCACACTACTGACTTTAATGTACCGTGTAAATAACACCTTCCAATTAAAATTATATTATAAAGTAGTTAGTATATAAACTATATTTATTGTAAATATACAATAAATGATGAAATAAATAAAACATTATATTTTTTGCTTTATTTATAGATGTTTCAGACAACTTATAAAAATTCTGACGTAGTTATAACTGGAAAGCAAGCAAACGGATCCGAGTTTTGGTAATGAAACTTATTGTGAACATCATTAACTAAAATAAAGCATAATTTTCGGCGTAAAATTGCTGAAGTTTGAAAATGATTGTAAAATATCACATATTACGACTTATGGCCTTAGGTATTCACATACAAAACGGACTTCAAATGATATTATAATCATTTCACAAGTAATTAAAATTCGAATAGAGAATTCTAAAAAGAAATAGTTTAAAAAATAAAGTTCTTAAAGTATTCAAATTTCGTATACATTTCTCACGTGAAATATGTTAAACAATCTCTGAATAAAATTTTAGCAGTTGAAAGGTAGTACCAGTTCGCTATAGAAAGAAGCTTGCATTTTAGTGTCTTAAGAGCTAAGTTATTTAACTGACCGATTTTCCATTGCCTGCAAATACCTGTTAAAATAAAACAAAATCAAACTGTATTCGAAAAACGGACATATGTAAATATGGTCTTGATCGATAGAAATTAATCCCTAGAAACGATAGCAAAAATAAAGGGGTTACTATGAACTAACACTAGCTAAGTATATTATTTATTATCTGCTAATAAACTTTATTATCTAAAGATAAACTTCAAAATATTTGTAGTAAAAAAACTTGGATTAATAAAACTTCAAATGTCTCTTTCTCAATACAAAATTATTTAAACTTTATATACATATGTTAATAATTTTATTACATTCAACTGCTCAATCGCATAAGAAAATTAGAGGATTAACTGTTATATAGAGACTTTAAAGAAATATATAGCTAATCCTACTCGCAGCAATTTTCAATAAAGAAAATATTTTATTTTTATATATTTTTACCAACGTTATCTGCCGATCATTGGTAAGAGCAATTCATATAGATTTAACAATAATTCAACATTGAGTAACTAAATAATTTATTTATAATTATTTTATTAAAAATTTTATCAAAATAAATTATTTTGTTAAGGTTAATCGAAGTTGAAGGTAAATTAAATTGATTAAGATTCTTTTTAATTGAAAAAGAAATAATCTAAAATTTTATTGCACTTAAATTAATTTTTTGTTTATAAACAAAGCATGACTTCAAGTTTATAATTAATTTTTGCATATGAAATAATTGGCGATAAACTGGAGACTGGTTACATACATCAAGAGTAAGAAAAGAAAGCTAAACAAGCAGAAGAAATTGATTGTGACTTAACCGAAGCGTTAATACCCTACACAAGCAAAGTTCTATTACAAAACAATCAAACAATAAAGAAATATTAAATACTTATTGAATTGTTTTAGTAATATTTAAGTATATTAACTAATTTTCGTCAATTTTTTTGATAAGAATTAATTTCCACTGGTCGATAAAAAAAATCTACGATGAGCTTAAAAACTGGAAATTAGTTTATTAATATCAACACAAGCAAATCGACATTATCAAATTGAAACGTGTTTTCACTATATATTTCTTTATGGGTACCAAAAGAGATGACGATCCTTAATTCTACTTAATGAAATACTTAAGGGTCAGATATACCATATATATAATAATCACATCTTATAATAATTTTTTTTATTTTTCTAATGTAATAAATCTACCGTCCACATTAGTGTAGTGAGTTTCAATTAAATATTTTAGGATCACCAAAACTTGTAATTTCCTCCAATCTTAGAATTGATGGACCAAATGTTTGCTGAGTATTTAAACAAATTATTTTATTATTCATTTGTCAGTTGGTATAAAAATTTAATCACGCACAAATGTACAATTCCAAATCGGTAAGTTTCGGTTTGAGTTCAATTATAAAATATATGTAAAATGATTGATATCATACACATCTGCAGGTACAATGGTTGTTGCCTACATTAGTGGTCTTGCTATGCACAATTCAGAGCAATGCTGCTAACATAGATAAAATCAAAAGCACCAACAATTCAACAAGCAATATTTTTGGCAGTAAAGTGCAAAGTGCATTGAACGTGGCTAAGTCAAATGTTCAAAATGTTGCTGTGGCCGATCAATATCACAGAGACGAAAGTGGCAAATATGTAAATGATGTAAGCGGCATTTATCGTGATGACATTTCCAAAGGACGTTGGCCGTCCGATAAGCGTGGACAATATCAAGATAACTACAAGTGGCGGTATGTGCATGACAAAAGTGGTCAATATGTAGCTAATAGCGCTGGACAGTATGTAAAGGACACACGTGGCTTATATCATATTGACAATACGGGTAGCTATCAACAGGACAACAGCGGAATTTATGTGATGGATACACGTGGAGCATATAACGCAGAAAAGATTTAATTACAAAAGATTTGAATATTCAACATTGAATGAATAATCATCAAGTGCATTTTTAAAAGCTAAAACTACAAAAAAAACCTAACAAACAGACACATTTCACTATTCGACAGAGTTTCCGGTCATTAATTTCATAGAATTTCTGTCGAAAATATCAACAATTTATGATTCTGCAAACAAATCGTACTAAAATTGCTCCCACACTATTTAATCATACAACGTGTCTCGTCAAAAGTGGTAAACTACTTCGATATCAATAACCCTAAATGCAGATATTTTGTCACGTAGTGTTTAGTACATATGACAAAAATAAATTAAAATTCAATATGAAAACAGGTACGGCTAACACTCTACTACCAGAAGGTCAACGTGCCTGGCCCGGCCTGACCTGACATCCATCATTCTATGTTCATAAATTTATATATTTTTTTGTACCAATTTTGCGTATTTTGCATTTTGCAAAATCATTGCTTGCGTATTTTGCAGTCATTGTACTTGGTAAGGTACGTTGTCCTTTTAAACCAGCAACAAACATTTAAGCCAGAATTTTAATTTTTAAGAAATTTCACTCAAAGGACAATTTAATAAATCCTTACCTTTGTTTTCGACAAAAACTTTATGAAATTAATTTAGGCGGTCCATATAAATGCAAATATTTGACACAATGCCAAATCGAGAAGTGTGAAGTTACTTTATACTTAACACCTCCACTACACTCAGATATGCATAATTAAAAATTTTAAAATAGAATAATTAAAATTATGCATAATAGCATAATAAAAAGTATACAATTTTCAAATTTTTTAATAAACTTTAAAATATTTAATCATTTTAAAATACTTCAAGTATTTTTTGTATAAATAATTTTATATATTTACAATTAACAACAAGTATCAGGAGATAAAATCACATGTGTAGTAAAGCCTTGACCACTAATAAGGATCAATTCACCATTGACCAGACAATCACACTGGGAAAATCTTGGCAAAAGCCTGCGAACACCCACAATCTCTTTATTAACCACAAGACAGCATTGTTACCCGTATAGGAATAGTGTCCTGCAGAAATCAACTTCATGTAATTGATAACGTACTAAGCTTCAGATATATTGTCTATACCGTATCTTTTAAATTTCATCATGGAACTGGTCATGCGCAGAAGTCATGTGAATCGTGTAGCACAATAATTTAGCACAATGTATTCAGCTCTGGGCATATACTACTACTGCTGATATTATTGATATCGAAAAGAAATCTGCGTAAATGGGCTTAACGGTGAATTAAAATAAAATATAATATGTAACTATTACCAGCACGGAGCGCCTTCCACGGAGGGCCTTCCACGGAGGGCTATCTGATTACTGTCAACCATACTTACTCTGTGTGTTTTTGGTATACTTTTTAGTCTCCTACCAGTTGATGATGGCTATCAAATAAACTATGAACTCATAAGGTTTATCCCGACGTCGGCATATACCGGATCGAAATTCACTGAAGAACCCAGAAGACAATTCTGCTTAAACTACTTCTAGCAGTAACCAATGTGGGAGAAAACAGTATTTTCGGAGGAGAATTTAAAGAAGCACTAACCGCACTTAGAATCTGAGACTAGAGATAACATGAATAGAACAGAGGTGCATAGAAAGGAACGCAACTTAATTAAACACGTTATGTACATACTTTCTAGAATATCTAAGTCAACTGGAAAACCTTCCCTTGAAAACCATATTCTATTTAAAGGTTCAAAATCTTTTTTTATTAAAAAGGTGCATTTTTAGAATCACCACCTTAATTTGCCTGCTAAGCTAAACTAGTCAATTTAGTTATTGTATACCATAAATAAAGTAAAAATATCAAGGTGTCCTGTTCAATTTTATAGGAAATTTTATTTAGTGATGTCAGCAACATAAAAAACGTACTTCTACAAAAATTTTATAATTTTTTGCGAAATTTATTCTTTCGTAAATTTATCTTTACATCTCTTATATCAATTTCATTAAGCCAAACCAAATTGGTAACCAAATAATTAACATAAATTAATTTTTAATTATACGCTGCCAGAGATTATAAATACGAAACATGGAGTTTCGTTTTTCATCGAAATTTGGTGCAATTAGTTTGAGACAAAACTTTCCGAAATCTTAATTTTAAAGACACAGAATTCGATCTATATTTAATCCAAAAAAAATTTCACTCCCTAAGATATGCAAAGCCATCACTTAGTTCTTTTTTTGTTATTAAATAAGTGCAACTCTTACTTCCCTGCACTGCATCATTGCGTCACTGCGTCACAGCGTCACTGACAACTGATATGCAAATTAAGAAGCAATTTTTTAAGATAAAAGGAATTTTTATTTAAATTTTGATATTGTGAAAATAAAGTAAAAACCAAATTTTAAAAATTAAGTGAAGCTGAATTTTTCACAAGGATGTAAGGACGAACAATACCGCTGTTGGCTTTATAATTGAAAGTCAAGTGCTGAAACTCAATGTTGAATGCAGTTGACGCGTGTTTAAGCTGCAAAATTTCTTTCATTTTATGTTTTTATTATATTGTATTTTTTTTCTTATTTGGTATGGTTTTGATGATGTTGACATTTGATAAGCACGCGAAAAACTATAATGTATAAAGCGAAATATTGTACTGAACGTATTTACTTTGGGTACTTCACGGAACCTTTAATAAAGAACAACAAGTTAACAAAAGGAAGCAGTTTTGTAACCTTTCAATATTGCACTTACCAGTGCGATTAGATTTTGGTCTACATGGTTTACGACGTGCGTCCTGAGAGGTTGAACTTGTATTATCGTGCGTCTCAATCGACATAGCTTCATCGTGTTCTATTATTTGTGCTTTAATAGTCTTTCGCATATTTGTAATCTACAGGAATATATATATATATATATATATATATATAAATATATTAAGAATTAAGTGGAAATCAAGCGTAACTATTATTTTATATATTATTTCACTCACCTCTTTTTCAACGCGAAGCTTGTTTTGCAAACATTTTGCCTTTTCATTATTGGCAGCCTCAACCTGATTCTCAACATAAGTCAAAGTCTTGTCGCAAGAATCAAGCCAGCCCTGCAGAATTTTCTCAATTTTTATTAGATAGTCTGGTGGTATATCGCGGCCCTGAGCAAATTCGACCTCAAACATGCGTTCATTTTGAAACAACTTTCCTCGTATGATATCTGAAATAATAAAAAAGACTCATGTATATTTTATTTATGGTATATAAATATTGGAAAAATCAATTGAATCAAGTCATTTCGATACAATTTTCTACAGACACACCTTACAAAATCTAACTGTGCTCCAACAATTCTTCAGAACTCGAAGCACACAATATAAATTTCATATTTTTTTCATCCAATTATTGAGCCATAAAAATCTATTCCACTTCAGTTTGATGGTTTGGTATTTTAATTGAAATTCGAAAATATGCAATAGAAAACCAAACTTTTTTTGGATTGAT